CCCTCAGTGTGCCTCACCTTTTAATACCTTAGTGAACTTGTATCTCTTTTTTTTTCTTTAAACTTGAGTCTTGTTTATTTTCCAAGTTTTTTAAGTTGTTAGAAGACTAGAAACATTAATAATTCATTTCTGGGTTTCCAGGAGTAGCATAATGGCTGATCCTAAATTGCTCAGAAACTAGTATCACAGGTTGTTCATTTGGTTGCTAGAAGATGTCAAGAGAGCTATTTCAACCTTCAGTTTTATATGATTTCAGTCATTTTAAATTTGTTGAGACTTGTTTTGTGGCCTAGGGACCTCTAAAAGACCTGTAACATGGGTCAATTGCTGTCACACTGCGACAGGCCCAGAAGGGGCTCAGCGGCAGAGTTGGCGCAACAGGCTCGGAAGAAGCCCTGCAGCAGAGTGGTGGTGACAGACGGCAGGGCCAAGAGGAACCTGTCTTTTTGGTTCTATAGCCATTTGGTTCTCCCAGCACTAAGTGTTTGAGTCCTTGGAAGAACATACAGATAGCTTTCTCTGCAGGAAGCCTTTCCAGATCGTGCTATTGCAAAGCCTGGGGGAAATGAAAAAAACCAAACCTGTTGCTGTCGAGTGGATTTCAACTCATAGTGGCCCTATAGGACAGAGTAGAACTGCCCTGTAGGGTTTCCAAGGAGCACCTGCTGAATTTGAACTGCTGACCTTTTGGTTAGCAGCCGTAGCTTTTAACCACTGCTTCACCAGGGTTTCCTGCCTGTCGTGGGGTTAGCCAGCCATTCTGGGAACGTGTGTCACTCTTCCCTGTCCTGTGGTGGGGCCTCAGGCACTTCCTTGGTTGATATAAGGTGCTGATCTAATTTCATAGGTTTTAGGTGTTTGGGGAAGTTTTAAGTCTCTGAAGGTTGGCTCAGAGAATCACCCTATTTTTTATGTCCATAGAGTTTCAATGCATCTTTTTTGTTACAGAGCCTGTAGGCAATACAATTCCTTCTCACCCTTTTTTTAGTCTTGTTGGATTGGCAGAGGACTGGTTTCTCCCTGAGGATCCCACTTTTTATCTGTTTTCCTGGCTACCCTCAGAATGATATTAAGACTTTGAAGTAATGGACCGTCAGCAAAAGCTAAGGGCCTCTACTGCTGTCCTAGCCCTAGGGAGCGTGGTTACCTGTTTGTATTTCACAGGGTGGCTCTGGCCACCACTTGCTGTGTTTCTAGCTCACGGTTTATATGAGGGCCGGACAAGAGGTTATAGTGATGGAGAGAAAGATTTTCCTGCTTTGTGGTCTTGCTCTTCCTTCTGCCTTTGCCCTGGTGCTTTATTTCTTGGATTAGTCCTTAGAGCTCCGAGTCCATCAGTTCCACCATATTGTTTGTGGTATTTTGTTGCTTTTTTTCTTAAATTGTTGTGGGGTAAAGGAGACGCTCAACTACCTATGTCACCATCTTGGGGGAGGAGCTTCAATCTTCAGTTTTGAACAAAGAATAATTGACTAATACACAATGAATAGCAGAAGGTGTTTATTAGATTTCTTTATTCCACAAAATATGTAAAACTAGATATTTAACATGCACTGTATATGAAATATCGTTAAAAACAGTTCCTGGATTACACTGGTGTATGTTTTGTCAAAACTTCAAGTGGTACGCTAAAGATTTTTGCATTTCAGTTATGATATTTTTACCAAAAGAATAGTAAGCAAATATTAAATTCTAGTTAATGATTTGCATTCTGAAGTATTTAGGGAGAAAGGATACTGCCATCTGCAGTTTACTCTGAAATGCATCAAAAAAGTAAGAAAGTGATGGATAAAGGGATGGGTAGATGTGTGATCCATCTTTCACAGTTTGTTGTACTGTGGTGGCTTGCGTGCTGCTGTTATGGTGGAAGCTATGCCATTGGTATTTCAAATACCAGTAGTTTCACCCATGGTGGACATGTTTCAGTAGAACTTCTAGAATAAGGCAAATTAGGAAGAAATGCCTGGAGATATACTTCTGAAAATTAGCCAATAAAAATCTTTTGAATCACAACAGAATATTATCTGATATAGCGCTGGAAGATGAGCACCCTAGGTTGGAAAGCACTACACTATAGTCACAAGAGTGGACTCAAACATACCAGAGATCATGAAGATGGCCCAGGACTGAGCAGTGTTTCATTCTGTTATACATAAGGTCACCATGAGTCAGAGCTGACTTGATGGCAACTAAACAACAGATGGTATTAGTAGAGTAAAATGTTAATAGATCCTATGTAGTGGGTATACAGGTGTTCACTGTACAATTCTGTTAAGTTTTCTGTAACTTTGAAAATTTTCATAATAAAATGTTGGGGAAAGGGGAGGTGAACTTTTAATAAACCCGAACCAAACCTGTTGCCGTCAAGTCGATTCTGACTCATAGTCACCGTATAGGATAGAGTAGAACTGCCCCATAGGGTTTCCAAGGAGTGGCTTGTGGATTTGAATTGCTGACCTTTTGGTTAGCAGCCAAGGTCTTAACCACTGCACCACCAGGGCTCCTGAACTTTTAATAAGAGGATGTAAATCAGCAACAAAAACAAAATCTATATTCCATGTTCTTTAATATCATTTCTCCATCCCCCAAAGATTACCGCTCACATTGAACAGGAATGTACTGTTACAGGGATCAGTGTCATTCAGGGATGTGGCTGTAGATTTCAGCAGAGAGGAGTGGCAGCACCTAGACCCTGATCAGAGAAACCTGTATTGGGATGTGATGCTGGAGACTTACAGCCACCTGCTGTCAGTAGGTAAGTGAAGTCACCTGGATAGAGAAGGCCTTTCAGAGAGTGTTCCCATTCTTAGTTGCTGAATGCCATGGGGCATCTGAAATATGTGATGATTTTGTCCTTGATTTGCCCAGGTTTCTTCATCCCTTTGGGGAACTACCCGGTGTTAGCTTAACTGCCTGGATTAAGGGCACAGTCCTCTAGACTGCCAAGTTTGTCCAAGACTTCTGACATCAACTACAAGATTTTAGCCAAGATGCATGGTTAGAGAGCACAGTGTCCTGACAAGACTGCCCTCACTTCAGACACTAGCCACAAGTTCAGGATCCCCAGTCCACCCTAACTTCAGACCAGCTGGCTATAAATTCAGGGGTCCCTACAGACTCCCTCGGGTTTGATAATTCACTAGAACAACTTACAAAACTAAGGAAAGCACTAAAGATTACAGTTTTATTATAGCAAAAATATACAAATCAGAACCAGCTAAAGGAAGAGATTCATAGGCTAGAATCTGAGAGGGTTCCAAACATGAAGCTTCCACGTCTTTGGGTACGTATTATCCTCCTAGTATTAATACGTATCTATACACATGGAATATTGCCCATTCAGGAAGCTCAAACTTCAGTGTCTGGAATTTTTATTGAGGCTTCATTACATAGGCACAGTTGATTTAATTATTTCCCATGTGGTTGAACTAGTCTCCAGCACTCTTCCGTCCCTGAGGTTGGGCTGATATAATGTGGCTCAAGGTCTGAACTCTGTAATCACATAGTTGGTCTTTTTGGCCTTGCCAGCCCCTACCGTAAGACTATCGGTTTGATCAGCGCTATCCTGAGTCATATTGTTAGCATAAACTATTGAGTGTGGTTGAGGGACCCTCCATGAACCATAGAGAAACTATCATTCAGGAAATTTCAAGGATGTAGAGGTTACCCGCCAGGAGCCAGGACAAAGGCCAGACCTCTCTTTGGGTAAAGTTAAATTCTTCACTACACAGACAAGGAGTACTCTATTCCCAGGAATATATGGTTACTTTTCCGAAGAACAAAGCATTGAACAAGGCTTTATTGATTGGCCCCTGACACATAATTAGGTGGATAGTTGTCATTTCTTATGAACAGGGTATCAAGTTCCCAAATCAGATTTCTTCTTCATGGTGGAGCAAGGAAAGGAGGAGGGTGAGAACCCTCATCAGAGCTGTCCAGGTAAGTGAGTGTGACTCAGGCTGATGGGAGATAGGGGAGTAAATATTAGCTGTCCTGAGAAAGGCTGGTGCCTTTAAAATGCTATTAAGATGGCTCTTCTGGAAGGTTCTAAATTTTTAGTATCTCTTGAGGACCTTTGACAGTGGCCTCAGATAATTAAATGGCTTCTACATGGACGACGTTTGTCATTTCCAACTTTCTTCTTACTTTGGCTTTTTGGATTCTGGATCACATGCCAGTCTGCCTATCTT